GATGATGGTGATGATGATGATGATGATGATGATGATGATGATGATGATGATGATGATGATGATGATGATGACAACAAAAATAACGTCCTAAAATATCGTGGGGACAGCTTCATCATAGCTCGTCTGATACTATTTTCTATCAGTAGAATATTGGGCATACAAGGGAGTAGGACCAAAGACTGTGGTAGACTAACTTCTACTTGATAAACGAACAGAACCTTGGTATCAGTCGGAGATATGTCGGGAAAAAGGTGGTGACGATAGATTGAACATGCTCTAAAGGCGGCTACATAGCAAATAAAGTGTTGGATTGGAATACACAGGGTGGGGGATCAGGGGAACCTCGAGAATAGTCACAGACAATGATGAAGTGAAATAATAAATGGCCAGACATGGATTAATATCAAGAGGATAGTTCAGGATAGGGAAAGCATGTGCCCATCGTTTGTTCGAGACCCATACCCTGATGCACAGTGAGAAAGTCAGTGATGATGATGATGATGATGATGATGATGATGATGATGATGATGATGATGATGTACAACAACAACAAAATACGTCCTAAAATATTGTGGTAACAGCTTCATCATCGCTAGTCTAAAACAATTTTCTGGAATGTTATATCGTGCATAGGAAGGAGTAATAAAAAAGACTGCTCTAGACGAACTTCTACTTGATAAATGAAGCAGCAGATTAGTATCGGCGCTGTAAAATTGCGCATGGACTGCCGAGCACGCCTTTGTTCAGAGAACGAACGACCTTGCGTTGTTTTATCTTTGATGATGTTCAGACAATCTTGGGTCACTTTAGCGTCCTTGAGCATGGAGTCACATTGAACGTAGCATGCGACTAAACATGTTGTCTGTGTATCACAAAAAAAACTAATCTTAATTAGAGGGTGGTAATTAGCTTTTCACTCAGCTGGAAATCTGGCTTAGAATCACTACCCAAGAGGATACTTCTTTATGACATGTACACGATAATGATTTATTTTACTGCTGTTATTTCACATCACTTCATTTACCTGATTTTTAAAAAAATAGTATATTAATTATCTAAGATAATTCTTAACCCCCAATCCTTTCTGAGTTGGTGATAACTACTCAGAATTAATTGTCAAGTCCTTACGAAAATATTCTAACGCTTTACTTGCGCTCTGAAGGCAGAATTTTCATTATTTTTCTTGTGCGCCAAGAACCATACAAAATGAATAATACATGTAATAATAAATCTTTTCTACAAATATTGGTTGCGCATAACCTGAAGCACGCGTCAGCCACGAGTACCCATGTTACGTCGCAGAAAATGGAAGGTCAACTGCTCACTGCTGCGACTGTGGAAGGAGGTCACTTGTAGGCGCGGAGTGCTTTTTGACACCAACTTCATACCACAGCGAGACGGACACTTCCTCTTGACAATCCGGTGTGGATAATTGAAAATTGTAATCATTAAAGCTACCAACCCATTTACAAGGGGGGTATAATTTGGTTGTGTTTTCATAGAATTCTGTATTTTTCGTTTTCAATGATTATGTGGTCAAAAGCCTACTTGAGCCACTCCCCACAAAAAAACCCATCCAGTTCGTAAGTTAAATAAAATAAAAGCGACTTTTAAGTATGGCCTCACGACAACCTGCGTATGGCCTAAAAAGATCGGATATCCCGGATGTGCGGATAGAGTGTTCAAGCAAACTTAAGCCTTATGTGTCTAAAATATAAAGACCTCATAGTTGTCGGGTTTTTTCGGCAAAAGGAATTCATAATTCCTATAAACTTATGGTATTATATATTTGATTTTGATATTATGGGTTTATCGTTCGTACAGACAATTAGGAGGCGGGGGCCTCAAATACACCATGAGGGTGGACAACCTTGAAACGTTCCCTAACTGTGCCCTCTTTGGGAATGTAGAGCCAGGGTCACCTGCACCGTAGCATGGCACTACTGCTACCAACTGCAGTATCGGTGAGCCCTTGGACAACTTAATTTGAATCAAACAAACATAACAGGTGTCATATCATTTGCGTCATTTACCATCTGACGACCAATCCTGCTAACGTTGACTCACACCCTCAATGGAAAAACGTGAAAACTGTCCATTCAATTCAAACTCTAAACTGCCTCTTGGATAACCCTATAGTGTTAAGAGGGGCATTAAACCCACACAATCTCTCGTCATTCATTTTTGAGTTTGTTACTCTCTTACGACATCTCATATCTTCGCCACTCATATGACCTAATTTGTTGCAAGTGCGTAAAATTCTCACCGAAACTAAAACTTTAAAAACCCATACATTTGCACTTACACCTACTCTCACTCATATTCTAAGTATTCAAGTCTAAACTGTATCTTGTATTCCAAGGAAAAACTATAGTTGTGAATGGCATTTAAAAAAAATAGAATGGCGCATCAAATTGAGTTCCCAAAAGAAGATTTGAACTAATTTAGGTCACTTTGAATCGGAGTATGAAAACTATACATTTTGGATTTTTTTTTTTTTGAAAAAAAAGATGAGAAATTGAAAGACAAAGAAGAAGACACGAATATTCAGAAGGGCTCGGGGTTGGTGATGAGAGAAAGAGAGAGGCTGCGGGGGGAGGAGAAAGGGATGGAGAGAAAGTGCAAGAGAACGAGAAAGAGAAATAGACAGATGAACAGAGATAGAGAGATAAAGAGGAAATGAGAGAGAGATAAAGAGGAAATGAGAGAGAGAGAGAAAGAGAGAGAGAGAGAGAGAGAGAGAGAGAGAGAGAGAGGGGGGGGGGAAAGAGAGCTTATCATAGGCAAACATGAGTGAGTGGATAGGGTGTTCAACTGGTGTTTACGTTGTTTTTCATAAAGACATGTGTGGAAGAAACAAATCTCTCTCTTTCTCTCTATCTCCTCACCCCTCTTTCTCCCCCTGTCTCTCATTTTCACCTTCTATCTCCCTCACTCTCCCTCACTCTCTCTCTCTCTCTCTCTCTCTCTCTCTCTCTCTGTTCTGCTCTTTCATATTCTTAGTCCATATACACTCTCATAATCAACTCAAGAAATAAATCACCTCTCGTCCTTTCAATTCTCAATCTCTTAGCTGTCTCCATCGTACTACCTGTTCCTTTTGGAACATTTCAGATTATTCTCATTTCACACAAAGAAGCTGTAAAAACTCATAGGCTCCAAGTGTCCATTTCTTTTCACTCGTAGTTAACACACACACACACACACACACACACACACACACACACACACACACACACA